ACATAGAGAAGGCCACAGAGTCCTCACTGAGATGGGCCGGGCTGGCTGCTGGAGCATGTGCCCCAGGAAGATTTGCAAGGACTGAATGTGATGTCAGGGATGTCTTCGTGAAGAATTTTTTTTTTAATGTTGGTGCAGAATATGAAGAAGTATCTCATTTAGAATCAGCCCTTGAAAACCCCTGTTTGGAGGATTCAGCTGTTGGTTGTCAATAGAATTCAGCAAAATTTTTAAAAAGTTAAATAACCATAAGTGATTTTATTATCCAAACAGATAAAATGCTAATTGACCTCACAGGAAGTTTTAAAGTTGTTTCTAGAGTAGAGCATTTTAAATTCTTTTTTAAAAGTTTTATTTTTGCTCTAATGGCTATGCAAAGTATGAAGGTTTGAAATATCCAGATATAGTGGTTGGATTCAATTCATGACAATTATAACCTAAGTGGGTGTTATCAGATTAACCAGGCTTTGTTTAAAAGATTCACAATTGGCGGGGCTTGGTGGATCAGTCTGTAGTCCCAGCGCTTTGGGAGGACAAGGTGAGCAGATTGCCTGAGGCCGTGGGTGCAAGACCTCATCTCTAAAATAAATCAAAAAACTAGCCGGGTGTGGTAGCGCATGCCTGTAGTTCCAGCTACTTGGAAGGCTGAGGCAGAAGAATCGCCGGAGCCCAGCAGGTCGAGGCCGCGGTGGCTGGGAGCGACCACTGCACTCCTGTCTGGGCGACGGAGTGAGACTCCAACTCAAAAAAAAAAAAAAAAAAAAGATTCACAATTAAATGTATTATAATAGAAAGTAGTTACTCAAGTAATCCCCTCAGAGGGGAGTAGGAGCATATGCATTGTGTATATGCATTGTGTTTATATTTTGGCATGTAATCTCGCTTATAATTACCTTGAATAATGATAAGTTGCTTTGCATTTGACCTGACTGCAGAGAGGTTAGCCAGAAACAACCTGGGTGACTGAGAAGGCTCAGGAGGAAAAGGACAGGACACCCCGGGGGGTCCCTGCTGTGGAGGGCACAGCTGAGGGCTGTTGGAAGTACTTAGAGACTAGTAACTGCCATTAAAACCCACCAGAGAGAATCACATTTCATTTTCTTGGAAGAAATCTGTCCAAGAGTGAGAACTGTACTGCCATTGGATTTCTAACATGGTGAAAGCCTGACTGTGGGTCTTCAGGGTGTCCCTCAGCCAGTGTGTGTTCGTATGTGTGTGTGTGTGTATGTGTATGTTCTTGCCTGTGAGTGCGTGCACATGCTTTGTGTGTGTACATGTATACTTCTGTGTCATGTGAGCATGTATGGGTCAGGCCAACCTCCTGCCTCACCCGCCACTAACTGTAATGACAGCGAACGTTGTGCTTCACCCAATATTGATTCTTAAGTAGCTCATGAAGATAGAAATATTCAGCTGTGAATAGGGTGAGTTAAGAGCGGAATGTGTACTTAATTGTTTGTAAAATAAGCAACTGTTCCCTGACAGCTAAACTTGAGAGTAGGTGATAAGTGGTTTCATGATGCATACATTCTAGAATGTTCCAGAGGCCCCCGATTTGTAGACTTTACATAATGTATCGCTTTCCTCAAGATGAATGCTCTGAGGTCTAGATCCATGCAGAACAGAAGTCTCTTGCTCAGCTGTCAGCTAGACAACCTTTCTGCATGGCTTTTATCTTGGCCGAGTGTTGCTCCAGCAGTCGACCGATAAAGCTTTCCCTGAGTCCATGGGCCTTCTGTGGCACTGCAGGAACTGTAGGCACAGGCCTGCCTCTCCCTCTAGGGGTCTTGGTTTTCTGCCAAGCAGTTCTTCCTTTTCCACCTTCCCCCCACCTATGAGCAAGAGGTCTGCCTGCTGACACTAAGTATTCTCCCTTGTGATTAATTAATTATTGATTACAAGGTAATTATTAATTACTGATTCAGCACTTTTGTCCTTTTAATATCTGGCCACAGGATTAATAATTGACGTCTCCCAACCTAAGCATGGCAGTGGCTCTCTTCCTTGCCCCCCTACATGGACAGGCAGGGCTCCCGTTGCTACATCCTCAGCCCTCACCTGGTGCCGATTTCCCCTGATCCTGTTCTTTGGGTCCATCTGACTCCTTCTCATGCACCCTCCCCTGTTCTATCCCCACCCTTCCCTAGCCTGTCCACTCTTGCTTATGGCCTCTGCTCTCCAGTCCAACAGAGACGGCGTTGGACGGGCCTGGTGGTCTCTTGCTGCCATCTCAGCAGTCTTCCGTCTTTCTCTCGGTCCTTATCAGGATCTTGGGGGTGACCTGCCCCAAACCCATCACGTGTCACTCCTCTTGCCCTGCCCTTTGACACGTCCCACTTTGGGCATCATTGCCTGGAGGGCAAAGGGCAAAGACCGTGCACTCGGGGAGGGGGCAGGCTGTGGGCTCTCTGTGTCTGCCTACATTCTTCCATAGCTGTACTTTTCCCCCATTCCCCCCACACCCTGGCACCCTGGCACTGACCACCGGTCCACCTTGCCCCCTCCACATCCTCTGTACTGCTGTGGCTACCCAGCCTCCCTCAAGTTGGGTTTTGTGGTCATTTTGTTTTGTTCTGTTTTGTCTTGTCATGCCCTTGGGCCTGGGAAGGACAGGGGAGCCCTTTAAAGCGAAGGTATCTGAGAGTTTTGTGGGGAGAGCTGGTGAGGCAGGGAGGGCAGAGTGTCCTGGAAAGACCCCGGAGCTCGTGTATTGAGCTCACACCTGGTGGGGCATTTGAGTGACTGCAACACTTGTTTCCAGATTCAGGGTATGCTTGTGTGATCTGGGGCAAGTTCCTTAATTCTTCCAGGACTATTTCCTAAGCTGTTAAACCAGGTTAATGGTGACCACTTAATGTTATTTTGTAAGGAATAGATGAAATAGAGCTAATAAATAACATTTATTGTTTATTCCATGCCAGGCTCTGTTATAAAGCAGATAATAACTAAGGTAATCCTCACAACACCCTTGTGGAATGAGCACCATTGCCAACCCCATGTTAGAGCTAAAGAAACTAAGAAACAGAAAGCCCAAGTCACGTGATCCAGTCCTAGCGCCAGGAGGAGGAGGAGGGCGGGCGGGAGAAGACTTCTCAAGTGTTGGCCTCTGTTTTCCTTTCTGCCAACTGGGAGCTGTAGCCTTGGTAGGGAGAGGGTCTTTCTGTTTCTGCCCAGAGCCCTTGTGTGCTAAGTGGGTGTTACTTGGGGTTATTCTGGGAGCAAATGAGGAGATGAATATGTGAGCCTCTGTCGTAGTCTGCCATATTGTTAAAAAGGGGGGAAGGAGACAGGAGATAGCTAGAGAAAGGCTAGGCAGACAGATAGGTGGGTCCTCTGGTAACAATGTAGCGAACTCCTGGCAGGCCTCTCAGGCTCAGCATTGGTAAACAAGCTCCCTGTGAGCGGCTCAAGCTAGAGCTTAGGTACTCACTGCTGGGATCGAAAAGCAACCAATCAGCTCACCATTAGGCCCCTACCTCCTGCCAATTGGTCCTTAATACACCAGTCAGAGTAGCTACAGCTCACAGCTAGTGCTAGACAATCGGCTTGAACTTAAGGCTATATAAGCACCAGGTTTTTGGCCCAATCAGGCAACCCCTTTGGGTCCCCTCCCACTCTGGGAGCTTTTCTGTCCTCTCAATAAATCATGCTTTCTCACTTAGAAAAAAAAAAAAAGTGACACATCTGAAAATGCAGGAAAAAAAGCAGTGAATGTTATTAGAACATACTGGGTTAGAAATACAGAATTAACTCAAATTAGCTGAAGCACAGCACAACAACACAATTATTATAGGGATGCAGGAATGCACTGAGACCTTAGAAAGCACCAGTTGCCTGGAACTCAGCTGCACAGCCCCAGGTCCCAGTTCCCCATCTCTTTCTCACTCCACCCTCAATCTTGGCATGCACTGGATTGCATCTTTAGGTCTCTGGACTAGTCAAGGCTCTCTGGAGAAACAGATCCCATAAGCATGATGTGTATGGAGAGAGGCATACTTCTTTTAGGAACTGGCTCATGATATTGTATGGGCTGGCAGGTCCAAAACCTGCAGAGCAGGCTGGCAAGACAGACCCAGAGAAGGTTGCAGTCTGAGTGTAGAGACAGAATTCTGTCTCTTCCTGTGAGGTCAGTCTCTTCCTGATCAGGTCTTCAGTTGATCAGGTAAGGCCCACTCACGTTAGGGAGAGCAATCTGCTTGACTCAAAGTCTACTGATTTAAATGCTAATTGCATCCAAAAAAAAAAAAAAACCTTCATAGCAACTTCCAGTCTGTTGTTTAAGTAAAAACTGTGTAGCGTGGCTCAACCAAGTTGACACATGAAATTAAACATTGCCGTCTCTGCTCCCTCCTCCCTTTCTCCGCACTTCCTGCCATTCTCTCTTGCTTGTTCTCGGGCCATCATGGCTTCTCTACTGCATCCACCCCATGCCCTCATCTGTGAAGATGGGCTTCCTCTGCTCCTTGGCCAATGCAAGGGAGTGGATGGGCCCCTGAAGTCCACAGGCACCTGTTCTAGCAGCAGCCACACAGGAGTCTCTTTGCCAGGCGTCGGCCACCACTGAAGAGTTACTGGGCCAGGGCTGGTGTCAGTGTCGGGTGCTGCTCTGTTCCTGCCTCTTGGTTTTGCTTGAAGAATCCCAGGGAAGGGTGAGATCTGGTCACAGGAGACACCTGCAATCAGTCAGCTGACCATGCTGTGTGTGGCCCACCCCCAGGGCAGTGGGGAGGAAAGAAGCCAGCTGGGCAGAGGCCTCTGGAGACAGTGGCTACGTGGCTGGACTATGTCTCCTGAACTGTCTCTGGAGTGTCCGTGTTATCAATAACATACACGTGCTTCCCTGCAGACAGTCGCATTTCTCTCAACTGCACTTCTCCATCCCTCGCGAGGTGTCTGCACGGTCTTGTCCAGTTTTGTGTCCCAGTCGCCACATGCCCACGTGAGTATGCTCCCTCGCTGTGGCTAAGCATTCTGTTTTGCTCTTGCCTTTTCATGTACAGAGGATGACGTGGACCTGGAAGCCCTGATGAACGACATGAACGTGTCCCTGGAGGGCCTGTACTCAGCCTGCAGCATGCAGTCAGACACGGTGCCCCTCCTGCAGAACGGCCAGCACGCTCACAGCCAGCCGCAGACCGCAAGCCCTCGGGCCCTCCAGCCGCCAGTGTCCCCGAGGCAGAGGGTGCAGCGCTCCCAGCCCATGCACATCCTGGCTGTCAGGTAGGCCCCAGGCCTTGTGGCTGAGCCTCGCACTTTCCCCGCCCTTCTCTGAGCAGTCCGCAGAGACGGGACGCCACCCTCTGCTGTCGGAGGGTGTTGGGGGGGATGGTGTGGGCCATGCCAAGTCGAGATGCAGGTCTTTGACAAGGTGACGGATGGACTCTGCTGTCCAGCACGGCAGTCCTTAGGCTGCACTCATGTTCCAGCACCTTTTATTGAGCACCTGCTTTGTGCCAGGTGCCATACTGGATAGAGGGGTATGTGGGAAAGCTACCGGAGGAGAAAGACTCTGGAGAGAGGGGAAGAATGGCCATGCGGTCAGTCAAGTGCTTCCGCCCTCACTACCCAGTGGGGTCAGAGACTGGCAACATCAGCATCCCCTGGGGACTTGTCAGATGCATGCAGCCCCAGGCCACACGCAGAGTTGCATCTTACCAAGTTCTCCAGGGGTTAAGCAGGGAGGCACATCTCCTCTGGAAATAGGGAGGCCAAAGGGAAGAACTTGCTGGGGACGTTGAGGGAGGTTCCTTGGAGGTGGCAGACCTCTGAACTGGATGTCGAGGGATGCGGAGGATCTCGGGTGGATGAAGGAAGAGGTTTCGTGAGCAGGAGAGACAGTGCAGAGGATGGGGCGGATCCTGAAGGGTTTGTGTGCTCCTGCCAGGGGCAGATGGAGGGGTTTCACACAGGCAAGTGAGTAGACAAGGTGTTTATGTTTCGGCAGCATCGTTCGGGCTGCCTGGGATCAGAGGGCATAGCTGGAGGGCAGCAATGCTGGCAGAGCACTGTTGACTTGGAAGTACTTAGGAGCCTACGAGATGAGAGGCGATGGTGCGCTGCCAAGGGCAAAAAAGGAGGACAGATCTAAGAACGTTGCCGGGGAAGAGCGGCTGGGCTTTGTCAGCACGTGAATTTTGAGGCAGCCACGAAGGGGCAGAGAGTGCATTGAGCGTGACTTGGCTTTTGTCCCAGGTGCTTGGGAGGCAGGGAGAGCGCAGCAGTGACCATGTGGGGGAAGATGCTGAGAATGCCCAAAGCATTCTGAACCGAGGTCTTGGCTAAGTCCACCTGAGAACTAGCATTAGCGTTCCTGTCACCATCCCCAACTTCCCGAAATCTCAGCCCCCTCTTCCGGGTCCTTTCCTCTTGTGGCTGTCTTGGGTGTCTCCCTCTCCTTTTATGGAGGCCGCTTTAACGTGGGTTGTTCCTCTTTGCGTGATGCCCTCCGTCTTGCCTTAGGTGGTATTGGAACTACTGGAAAGTCAACGCAGGACTTCTTAAAATGCCAACGACCCAATCGTGAAGCTTTTGTGAACTTCTAAAACATCAGAACATCTGTATCTTGTTCTGTAAGTCAGAACAAAAGTCAAGCTGCCCTTCCTTGGGGTTCTGGCACTGGCTAGAGTCCGTGGACTGGAATGTGCTAAAGGCAATAATGGCCCTTCTCCTTTCTGTCTCCTCCTATATGACAGTGGTCAGATGCTTCTGTTGGATGTTTTGCCAAGACTATCGCTGTTATAGGAGGGTAGGATTTGTTACCAGTAAAAATAACCTTTCAGGCAAGTCATCAAGCCATTATAGGAATGGCTTTCCTATATTTCCCAACGCTTGTTTCCTTTATGCCATGTGAGTTCTCATATTTTGAAATCAGTGTGTCACATCCTGGTTCATTTGGGATGGCTAGCTGGGTCTTCCTTTAAAATCAGGGTAAGTTGGTAAAAAGAGCAAAAGTAAAATGATCACAGAATGTGTTTCTCTGGTGGCACATGGTTTTTCTGGAAAGCTAATGGATCGTTGGTTTTGTGAAATTTTAAAAGTAGTCAAAAAAACTGTTTGACAACAGCCTATACAAGGGACCCTGAGTTGTATTTAAACCAAGAGAAGGATCAGGAATGCTGAGCAAAGTCAAGCATGGGTCCGGTCCCTCTCCTTGGAGATGGGAGTTTGCCAACAAGGCAGTGTTGACCTCAGGGACTGGTGGATCCAGGATGGGTGGGAAGGCTGTGCTCCCAGGAAGGCCCTGGAGATGTGGGCAGGAAAACTGCCCTTGGGGAAGGAGACACAGGGCACGTGGCATTGGTTTTGCTTTGACTTTGAACTTGGTTTCTGTACTGTTTCACAGTTGCACCTGGTTCATCGTCCTGTGCATGCTTTACTTAGTTGAATAAGTTGTGCTTTTGGAGGAGGGCAGAGGGGGTCCTGTGGAAGTACCTGGAGGGTAGAGGTGGTTTAGATTCAGCAGGGTGTGTCTGAGGTGATGTGGACGTCGGCTAAGCTCTCCGGGAGGACAGGTACATGTGGCTGTAGCTTCCAGTTCATTCACTGTCGACAACCTTTTTGTGTAAATAAGCGTTCCTTCCACAATTCAGATGAGGACTCACAAAGCCGCTTTTAGTATTTTTATCTGGTTACATAAGTGTTCCTTTCAAGGACATTGAAAAATACTTGTTCTCATGAAAAGATTCCAATTTGCAAAACCTTTTCACACGTCAAGTATTCATTGAACGAAACTGATGGGGTATTTGGTGCAAATGCCAATTCCCTGTCATGTGCTGAGCATCACCTTGGGATGTTTCGTGAAAGAAATAATCGATACCCCTTTGGGGCTCAGAATGGCAGTTTTTGACTTTCTAAAAATGTTTACTTGTAGTAAAATACACATAACATAAAATTTTTGTCATATTAACTATTTTAAAGCGTACAGTTCAGTAGTATTAATGTGCACTTGCAATAGTTGTGCCATCTCCAGAACTTTTTTATCTTGTAAAACTATCACTCTGTCCCTAATAAATAGCAACTCTTCCCCTCAGCCCCTTCCCCTCAGCCCCTAACAGCACTTTATGATACTAAGTGGAATCATAAAGTGTTTTTTTTTTTGTTAAGAAAGCAGGATTTACTGAGAGGACAGAAGAGCTCCCACGGTGGGAGGGGACCCAAGGGGGTTACCCCATAAAGTGTCTTTTTGTGCCTGGTTTATTTTATTTCACATAGTATCTTTAAGGTTCATCCATGTTGTAACCTGTGTCTCAGAATTTCCCCCCTTTTTTGTGACTAAATAGTATTCCATGGTGTGGATATACCACATTTTGTTCATCCATTCATCCGCCTGTGAACACTTGGGTGACGTTCACCTTTTGGCTATCGTGGATGGTGCTGCTGTGAACATGGGTGTACCGGTGTCTCCTGGAAGCCTGTTTTCAGTTGTTCTAAGCATCTCCCAGCAGTAGCAATGCTGGGTCATATGGGGAAGGGCAACTTGTAACAAGCACTTGTCTCTTGCCTCCCAGACGCCTTCAGGAGGAAGACCAGCAGTTTAGAACCTCATCTCTGCCGGCCATCCCCAACCCGTTTCCTGAGCTCTGCGGCCCCGGGAGCCCTCCTGTGCTCACGCCGGGCTCCTTACCTCCAAGCCAGGCCACCGCCAAGAAGGTGAGTGTGCCTTCACTGAGTCCTAGACTGTGAGGCTATGGGGCTATGGCATCTGCACGAATTTGCCTGATCGTTGCTTTGGGAAGAAGTCGGGCGGGGAAATCTTGGGGTCTTTTCTTTTTTTTCTTGTTGCCACTGTGCTTATTGTCTTATGAGGCTTTTTAATTTATTGGCCAGAGCTCCACTTGTTTTAGAGTCTCATAAAAATGGCAAGTAATAGTAATAATTTGATATTTTAAGATGAATTTTAGTTCTTTGAAAAAAGTTTTCCACTTATCATCCTCATTGCACAATAATTCTGTGGAAGTGCTCGACTTGCTCGGCACACAGACTTCAATACAGTATCGCTGAAGAGTTTCCATCTTGTGGTCCTCACTGTGAATCTGATCTGCTCAAGGCAGAAAAGCGTTCACCTCATCCAAACGGCCATAGCTACCTGTTTGAACTTTTAGTTTCTGTTTAAAGTAGGCATAAAGTAGATATTCTACAGCCATTGTTCCCATGTGAGGAAACTGAGATACAGAATGTTTCCGTAACCAGGGTCAAATAGCCAGGAAGTCAGCTTGCTGGAGAAATTGGGTTGGTGGCTCTTCCCTCCCAGTCAGCAGGGCGGGAGCCAGGATGGCTCTGGAGGAAGACCCAGGAGGGTTGGTGGTGATAATTATAACAGCAGCAACAACATCAGAGAGGTCTCGAGTGATTGATTCTGTGTGCCAGGCCCTGTCCTAAGCGGTTTATAGCTTTACTTATGTATATGTTCATTTATTCTTAAACCGACCCTATGAATCAAGTACAGATTCTGTTCTGCATTGGAGGAGCTGAGGACTCTCTGTCAGTGGCAGAGCTGGGGTGTGGCCTGGACCTCATGGTCAAGCTAAGTGTGACCTGGCCTCCGGATCAGAGCCTGTGGTTGTAGCAGCTATATGGGTGGGCTCCTGCAACATGGACTCTCCTTCTCCTAAAGAAGCATGGTTTAGAAGTCTCTTTGCTTTTCTAGAATTCTCCCTTTCTTCTTATGCACCCCACTTCCCCACCCCTGCTGCTCTCAGGCAAGAGAGGCCGGTACTCCCTTTCTCTGTGACTCTTCCTTCCCTGTGCCATGCAGGGTCTGCTCTCCTGGGAGGTGGGCCTTTTCTCTAATGCTCACCAGCTTCCGAGCGCTGCTCCCCTTTTGACCCGGGGCCTGCAGAGCAAACTGCACTGTGGCACTGTCGAAACTTAGAAGGTGAGGTCAGCGTTACTTGTCAGGACGCCAGTGCTGGCTGGGCCTCGGCGCAGTGTCACATGCCTGAGGTGCATCTGGGCTGCCTACCTCCCTGGTGACCTTCTGCTTCAAATGAGGGTCCAGACACGCTGTCTATGGATTTGTCACCGAGACTGTTTACAAAGTTGCCCGTCCTAAAATAAGACCACGAACATGTTATTTGGCTCTCTCAGCTCTGGGCCAGAAAATGGGCTCCACCCCCGTGGGTTGTCCAGTTTCGCAAGCAGAACAAGGAAACCCAGGAGTTTTACTTGCTGGTGTTGTTCTTGGGATCTGAGTTAGTTCCTGTGAGAATTTCATTGTGTCTGTGTGTGGCATCCAGATTCCTCAAGCCTGCTGGGCAGACAGGAGAGAAGGGATATTTCCCACTTAACTCGCTAGGTTCTTTGTACTTTTTTTTTTAAAGGAAACCCTGCTTGAAGGGACATTTCTTTATCTGTTCTGAGTTCTGACTTTTGATTCATGTGACGCGTGTCTTGTGTTTCGTTGGTGCTGCTGGCTTTGCGTGCAGGCAACCTCGGTCACCCACCAGGGTCCTCTGGTCCAGGATCGTGGTGGGAGATCAAGGGGGCTTGGCCCATCCCTTGCTTTGTGCTTAAGGGAAAGAGAAATCTGTTCTTCTGTTCTTCCTTCCATTCAGAGTCAGAGGAAGTAACAGCATCTAAACAAGAGTTTTAAAGTAGCAGAAAAACAGATGAAGTGTGTCCAATGTATCGGGCCCATGTAAAGTGGCCTCCTTCACTGGGAAGAACTCAGTGAACATAAGTAGGTGTAGAGCTCTCTGGAAGGTAACTGGAGAGAGTGAGGTGATCAGAAAATTCTTTGGTCAAGTCACTGTGTTCACCATTAATATTTCTGATGGAGGAAAAAGTGGAGCCGTTTAAACGTTCACAGGAAGGGAAAAGTCGTCCTTGCCCAAGGACTTACAGGCAACGCATCCTACAACTCCTGCTGATGCCTCCCTGTGGATCTTCACCAAGTGACTCCTTGGTGGCTGCTTAGTGGGGTGGGGTCTAGAGAGCCCCTACCTCGACATGGACTCAGCACTGGCCACCGCACATGACTCCCTGGCCCCACGGCTGGGAAGAGGCAGCACAGCAGAGAGGCATGGGGTCTGCACTGCGTCTGCGGTCCCATGCGGAGTATCCCCCTGCAGCTCTGGCAAGCCTCCTTTGGTAGACTGCAAGTTGCAAGCTGACATCCTGCAAAGGCTGGGGACTCTGGGACTCAGCAGAACAAGGAAAAGGGGATTCTGCAGCAGGGCGGTTGAGGAGGAAAACAACCCTTAGCCCCACACTCTGGAGTGTGGAAATTCCTTCTGATGCCATCCCCTCAAGCCTCGCCACCTTCAGCTGCCACCTTGGGTCCCTACCATGTGGGGGCCTTCTACGAGACCCCAAGACGAAGAAGTTGGCTCTGCTCTCAAGGAGCTTAGTGTGATGGTGACAGGGAATGACAAGCTGTCTGAGATGAAGGCGGGATAGAGTCGGTGGTGGTCTAGGAAGCGACAGGCACATGCCAAAAGAAAAAGTTATTCTACCTAGAAGGCTGGGGAAGTCTCCCCCGGCTCCCCTGCATCCTCTGACCCAGGGCCTCCCAACAGGTGCGACAGCCTGGCGCAGGCTCTACGAGTTTCTCCATGTTGCACCTTCAGATGATGGTGCCAGGTGCTGTGTTGAGGGGCTAAGGGTACCCACGGGGATCACCTACGTCATATTCTGCATGGACGGGAACAGCTGAGTTCCATACAGGGGTCTCTGAGCCTCCAGCCGGGGGAGACTTAAGCCAAGCAAAGGGGACAACTCCTGATGGGATCACCGTGCTGGGCGGGGCCCCTGATGGCCTACTTGTTCTCCCTCTTGCCTGACCGCCCTTCCCCCACCCCAGACTCCACGCCCTCACGCCTCCCAGCCTCTCCTTTCTCCTCTGGATCTGGGGTCCTGCCCCAGTGCGTTTATGGAAGCGGTGCAGAGTGAGTCTGACCTCTCTGGCCCTGCCCTGGCCTATTGCTCGCCCCAAGCTAGATTGGCGCTGGGTCTGCAGTTCCTCGGGCATCTGAACAGGGGCCTGCGAACAGTTTGCGCAGTGTCCTGTCGGCTCTGCAGCCTAGCAGGCCAGAGCCTGGAGGAGAGCGGATGGGATCTGGGGCTGGTCGATCCAGGCACCTCCCAGCTGCAGTGCCGGTGGCCTCTGCTGCTCACTCACGGCTTCTGGGCGGCATTGTGGATGACTGTGAAAAGCACAAGTCTGTTGGTCTTGCATTTACCACACTTGCACCCTACAGCCTCACCTGTGAAGTGAGAGAGAAGAGTGCACATGGACCTGTCCCTTCCTGGAAGGTGGTTTCTACGTTAGAGGAAACATCTCCGTTTGCCCCTGAGAGTAAATGTAGAAACAGTAGCTGTCTGATTTTACACGGTGTTGTCCATCAGTGAATGCAGCTGTTGTCCTTAGTTATTTTAAGACACACAAGTGAATCTTGTCTGAAGGTACAGCTTTTAGGAAGACCATTCCTCACTTATTTAATGGCATTTAATTTTATTTAGTGGTTAAACTTAAGTTGTTCAATAATATCTCATTTATTTACCCAACCTACTAGTGTCTAACTTTCTTTCTGTACCTAACATTTTTTTCTTCAGAGGGTATTGAAATTTCTTTCTTTTTTTTTTTTTTGAGTTAGAGTCTCACTCTGTCACCCAGACTGGAGTGCAGTGGCCACTCCCGGCCACCGTAGCCTCCACCTGCTGGGCTCCGGCGATCCTTCTACCTCAGCCTTCCAAGTAGCTGGAACTACAGGCACGCGCTATCATGCCTGGCTAATTTTTTGATTTATTGTAAAGATGAGGTCTTGCCAAGTTGCCCAGGCGGGTCTCGAACCCGCGGGCTCAGGCAATTCACTCACCTCGGCCTCCCAAGGCACAAGATTACAGGCTGAGCCACTGAGCCCAGCCGGTATTGAAATTTCATTAGTCAGTATCAGGAAACTGACTTTTTGTGGTAGAAATCAACAAGGCATCTTTAGCTGCCTTGTGGCTCATTTGAAAAAAGCAGGCTGTCACAGACAAGTGCGGTTGTTGCAGCAAAGGTTTCTGAGCCATGACACTGAGCTCCACGCCTCCGTCAGATCCTCACCCGGAGATGGTGGGCCAGTGGCCTAGTTGCTGCCCCCCAGCCTCCAGTGACAAGGTTTTCTTTGCTCTCGGTGCCCTGGTGGACCCAGATCACGGCAATCCTCTTTCTGGACAGACCCCCCGGGGCCTTCTCTGCCTCAGCCTCGCCTGCCCAGAACTTGGCGTGGCCTATGCTGGTGAGTCACCTTGCATTTTTCTGAGCACAACTCTGAGTGCCTGCTGTGTGCCCAGCCAGTGCCAGCAACAAGGACCAAACAGAGGCGTGTGGGCCCTGCCCTCTACCTGCAGATGCCTGCGGCACACTCTCAAGCTTTAGCCAAAGCCCGAGGACTGGGGCGGGGCAGATTCTTCCTGGCCTCTTAGGATCTCTTTGCCTGGACCAGACCACCTATCTTTCTGGCCAGCACTTCTGAGTCAAAGCCGTGACTGTCCAGTGGTGTTGAGGGAAGGAGCGCATCACAAGGGCAGGAGGGCGTGTCCAGGGGCTTGGGGATCGGGCCACGTCCCAGGCAATCTGAGATAAATACTGGACCGCCCACCCACACACACACTGCAGAGGACCCCAATAGCGTCGGCCCCTCACCATGACCTCAGCCCCAGCGACT